GGCGAGGCACCTCGGCACGGCTCCGTCGGCGACGCTAACTCCGACAGGGTCTGCCGCGGGGCCGCCCAGTGAACGCAGTGAGTAGTATCGGCTGGGTATCGGCACTCACCCGAACTCGGCATGCCTTGGCCTGTGTTTGAGTAAGTACATCCTTCTTTGGGGTGAAATCCATCGTCGGATGCGGGCACTATGGTGGCTAGTTAGGGTGCCTACCAATTCTGGCTCGGACGTATAAATATCCGGGGTTGTTGAATAGAACATCGATGCAACAACCCAGGTTGTTTTCAACAAGGGGGGTTGTTAAATAGAATAATCCCTGTTACTAACTTGATCTTGGTTAACCAGAATTTTTCCTATCCACCAAAAGATTCCTACTTTCGCAAAATTCACGGAAATTTAGGAGCATCTTGCAAAAAAAAAAAAAAACGACCCAAATGAGATGGTCCTATGAGACGAGCAAACATATCTATTTCTGGCAGAGTCAGGGAATTAGAACCGTGAGACTCTCTTTCGGCACTCCGGACCGCAATTTTTCTTGTCACGGTCACTCTTTCTACTGAGCTACGCTTCAGACTGAACTCTGAAATGTCCGTAGTCCACGCCCCCAACGGCCGTCCACCTCCGATCGCACAACCAGCACAGCACCAAAACCATGCCATCGAGTTGTGTAAACGTGGTTTGAGCGACCCTCACCGCCCGCCGATCTGTGCCATGGGTTTGCTGCTGGCCGTGGAAACTGTCTGCGGGCCGGAGGAAGGCGAGTCTACTCTAGTCGTACCGCGGAAGAGCACTGACGATTGTCATATGTACAGGAAAAGGCGGGATAACTGCTAACAATACTGTTTGGCCCGCGGTTCTCTCATTTCTCACAGTGAAGCGAACTTCCGACCAGCTGAAAAAGCTGCAGACGAACATGAACACCTGCTCTTGTCCCATTAATGCGGAAACTGCCGCCGTCCACGCAAGCGGCGCGAACGTTCTCGCACAACGCAGCGCAATGTTTTTCATGCGCGGAATCACCAGAATCAATACGGATGTCAATATGACGCCCTACCACTGTCTCATCATCCACTTCTTCACCGGCATATCCAATTATTTAACCTCTTTGGGTGTTACACGACTCGCGAAGGGCAGAACAAACGAATGGCCCCAGGCCCCTTCGGACCTCCTGCCCCACGGAGCCAGTACTACTATTGAATCGCTAGAACAGTGGATTGAAACACTGCGCGACCCGGCGCCGTTTCCTCTTCTTCTTCTAACCCAAATCGTCAGGCTTTGCCGCACACTCATCGTCCCCAACATGGTGGCGTCCCAAAAAATATCCCGTCTCGTGGTCTCATCTCTGCGCGAGGCCTATGACGAGGCCAAATCGACCGTTATACCCCCTCCCCATCCATGGTTCCCCGAGGCCAAACTATCTGCCGCGGAAACGCTCAAACTACGTATTTCTCCCGTGGAGTTGTTTTTGGGTAATTTCTCGCCCGAAATTATGAGAAATGCGCTCACGGCCGGTGAGATATACACCTTTTGGGGTGCTCACGACCGAGCATTGTTTGAGTGGTTGACTGCGGTGCTAAAGCTCTTCACCGCTTCGTCACTCTTCCCGCCTCAAGTTGGGGCAGATCCGAAACAATTCTGGGCACAGGGCGGCTCGACAGTTATGGTGTTCCGCAGCATCACTTCGTCGATCTTTTCGCACCTAAGCAACAAATACGGGATAACGGCTGACAAACTCGAGCCCGGTGCCCGCGCAATGTGGGAGTCGAGGGAGAAAGAGGCCCCGTGGAAGACTATCTGTCGTCGCCTCAACTGGGTGAAGTCAGAGGAGCGGTGCGGGATGGAAGGCTGCACCGAGTCTCTGCAGACAATATCAAGCCAATTTCAACGCTGCGCCGGATGCGGGATTGTGGGTTGGTGTTCAAAGGAGCACCAACGACTATCTTGGAAAGATACGCGCAATCCGCACCGCGATATCTGCAAAGTTATTTCTCGCTTTGTCGAGTCCGCCGGCGGTGACCTGAACGACGGAGAGAAAGTCGCACGTTTGGCCCCAAGAATCCCGCTCACCGACATGCAGACGATTTCTGACTGGCTCAACTCGTTCAATGCTATTCGGAACAACATGAAGGACCGGAACGATATGTTCAAGATGCTCCGCACATATTCGAACCGGAACATGTGCTTCGCTGCGGGATGTAGCCGCGCGAAGGTGCATCCAGCTTCCAAGAAGTTCGTTAAGTGCAAAGCGTGCGGGGTCTTTCGGTACTGCAACGCTGAGTGCCAGGTGCGTTATCCTGAATTATGGCAAGCCGTTCCATATTGACGAGAAATGTTCAATTTGCAGAAGAGAGGCTGGAAGGATCCCGCCGCACCACATAAAGAGGTGCGTGTATTTACTCCCAATATAATTAATATACTTATATGTCCTCACCGCTCTCAGGTTTGCCCGGTTATCAAGCGGGTTATCGAGAACGGTGGGGGAGATGTCAACGATGAACATACAACGGCACGCAGGACGGGGGAGGGGCATGTCTCCCTTGATGACGCTGCCCTCGTCAATGACTGGTTCACCCGCTTCAACCGCGAACATTCGGAACGGAGCCCGCTCGCGCAGGGCGACAGGATAGGATCGTGAAAGCCTGCTCTTCTGAACTACTTCAATTTTTGAATAGAACATCAGAATTCTCGTGGAGCCACCCTTCAGAATTCTACGGAGGCATAATATATAGAATTGAAGTTTTTGAGCGGATTTATTCCACCCCCGTTGGTTTTGTACAAGGTTCTCAAGTTCAACCGTGGGTTCTTCGGACCCGACAGCCTCGGCCAGCGTCGGCATGATGCCGTTCGGTTTAAAGTGAGAGCGGGAGTCCCAGGCTCACAAGGCACTTGACTCTGACCATGGCTGCCACTGTTGCTCCGCAGAAAAGCGCACTCAATGTTGTTATGGTCAGTGCTGCAATACTGCCCAGCCGCATCTCACGATCTACTAACTCGTATCCTGATGTCGATAGGGCGCGATGACATTCGGCGCGCCGGGCACCGAAGGCGCGCGGGTACACGACCTGCACGACGTCGAGGCGATTCTAGATGTGTTCCTCAAGCACGGCCATCGCGAGGTGAACCCTCTCCGCCCTCCCCTCGCACTTCCCAGCCCAACTGGTTCAACCGCAGATCGACACGGCGCGCGTCTACTGTGCCGGCACGAGCGAGGAATATCTCGGGAAGATCGATTGGCAAGGAAAGGGCATCTTGATGGAGACAAAGCTCTATCCTTTCGTCGTACGTCGCCAATTTAAGTAAAGGTTTATAGGCCCTCACGGTTCGACTGCAGCCCAAAGAACCGACTCCAGGTCAAGAAATTAGGTCGCATTCGCCAGAGGTTGTATCGTGCACTTCCTGCCGTCTTATTGGAGCACTCACGCAAATAACCATAGGATCTTCGCAAATTTCTGATGATCTCGCTCAAGGCGCTCAACACAGAGTCAGTATGATTTTGGAAGTAATTTTATTCGACCCCAGTAACACCCGTGCGGCACAGCAAACTCGAGATGTGGTACCTCCACGGCCCCGACCGCTCCGTTCCCTACGAGGTCACCCTGAAAGCCATCAATGACCTCTATAAGGAGGGCTACTTCAAGCGCTTCGGGATCAGCAACTACATGGCGTGCGTCTCGTTGTTCCGCCACCTACTCTGCAAATAAATAAATTTGCCCGCGCGCAGGTGGGAAGTCGCAGAGATGGTCTCTATTTGCAGGCGCTTCGGCTACATCCAGCCAACGGCGTACCAAGGTATTTTAGTCGACGTCTGCGTGTTCATCTGTGCTTGAATTTTTCAAAGGAATATACAATGCGATCCACCGCGGCGTCGAGCCCGAGCTTTTCCCGTGCCTGCGCAAGTTCGGGATCGCTTTCTACGAATTTAACCCCCGTGCGCCGCGTCCCTTCTGCAATGTATCATCTCTAAATGGCTGACACAACGCAGTCGGGGGCGGATTCTTCACTGGGCGGTACAACTCGGTAGATGATAAGCCCGAGAGCGGCTCGCGCTTTGATCCCGAGCGCAACCAGGGGAAGGTGCGCGTTCCTCCCTCCATCTCTCCCTCCAACCACAACCATCCAGCTTCCCCAGCGATACTAATCGGTCCGCAGAACTACCGCAACCGGTACTGGAAAGAGCCATACTTCCAGGCGCTCGCGGCGGTTCGGCCGGTAGTCGAGCGGCACGGGCTGACGATGGCGGAGGTCGCGCTGCGCTGGATTTCGCACCACAGCCTCATGCGCCGTGAGTACGGCGATGCGGTGCTCATCGGCGCGTCGAGCCTGGAGCACATCGAGCAGGTATTACTATTACTACGCCAAGTTTGTTGAACATTCCGATTGACCTCACCGCGCCGTCTGCAGAATCTGATTGATCTCGAGAAGGGCCCTCTGCGTGAGTGTCCCGTTAGTTTCTTTGAAAACCTGTGCGCTGACCCCATTCTCCAGCGGAAGAAGTGCTGAAGGCGCTCGACGAGGCATGGGAGAGCGTCAAGCCGTATGCGAGCAATTACTACCACTAGGCTGGAGCAGTTTTGTCTATCTGGTGCGTTTCACCTGATCCCTGTTGGACACATCCTGACGTCTTTCTGTGCTGCAGTATGTACTATTCTGATCCTATGTGTACGAGACATGTATGAATAAAATCGAAGATGCACGAAGTTGAACCCTTTGCGATTTCAAACCATGGTCCCGTGATCTTGGTTGAATTTCTCTCTTGGCGTTGTCAGTTCGGCTCTCTACAGTCTTCTCGTTACATGTAGCGCTTTCAATTCAACATGAAGTCGAAAACAGTCGATGCGGAGGGGAGAGATAGCCGCAGCGTTGCTGATTACTTCAATTGCCCGTAGCAAGCATGTGCATGATTCTTTTCGGGGCCAGGCCATGCGAAACATGAATGGATTCAATTCTTGTGTGATTCTTTGCCAACCACTCTCACGTCAAATTCAACTCATCTCAAGCGAGGCCTGGTGGTGTATTGGTAACACATCCTTTCTTGATGATGTTTTCTCCACAATGTAGGAGGAAATATCCTGTTCGATTCGGGGCTGGGCCATGCCATATGTGCATTCCAATTTTTTTTCTCATGTGTTTCTTTGCCAACCACTCTCGCGTCAGATTCAACCTCAACCTCAAGTTCAACCCATCCCAAGCAAGGCCTGGTAGTGTACTGGTAACACATCCTCTCTTGGTAACTCAGTGTCCATAGCGTTGGAGGAAACACCCCATTCGATTCGGGGCCGGGCCATTAGAATGTTGAACGCGTCTTTTTCTCATGTGTTTCTTGGCCACTTACTCTCGCGTCAGATTCAACCTCAACTTCAAGTTCAACTCACCCCAGGCATGGCCTGGTAGTGTACTGGTAACACATCCTCTCTTCCTTATCTTCAACTAGAAGGGTAGGAGGAAATACCCCGTTTGATTCGGGTCTAGGCCATTCCGCTAACTGATCCATTTTTTCTCATGTGTTTCTTTGCCACCCACTCTCACACCAGATTCAACCCATCCTAAGCAAAGCTGGTAACACATCCTCTCTTGATAAATTTGCTCCTCTGGAATGTAGGAGGAAGCACCCCGTTCGATTCGGGGCCAGGCCATAACCCCCCAGTGTAGCTTTTTTTTTCTCATGTTTTTCTTTGCCTCCCACTCTCGCATCAGTTTCAACCTCAACCTCAAGTTCAACTCATCTCAAGCAAGGCCTGGTAGTGTACTGGTAACACATTCTCTCTTGATTGGAGTTACAATGTATGGTAGGAGGAAACACCCTGTTCGATTTCACTGCGGTGGCCGATGGATTTTTAGGACCAAAACATGTAGTCCAAACATGACTTCCCATTTCGGTATATTTTTCTCGCCGCTCCCAAGATCCCGCAAAACCAACTCATTTTTGGACATATGTTGTGCATCAAAAACAAAGTCTATTTTTCCATCCCAAACTCCCACGAAAAATACGACATGTTTGGTCTCCTTTTAGCCAAGAAACAGACTCCTTTTCGAGCACCAAACAGGTGTTTTTCCATTGTACTCCCTCTGTTTGGGACTTAATACAACATATTTCTGCTGTTAGAAAGGGAACAGAAAATGGGGTATTTTTCTCGAGCGTTTGCGATGCAAAAGGGGATTGAATTTGGCTTTTATTTGTGGGTCAAAAATGTATCCGAGAAAGCGGATTTTTAGGACTATCTTTCGGACAACTACGAAAATACAGGCAAACGGGAAGACATGTTTGGACCTGGTGTTTTGTTCTCAAAAAGTCATCGGCCACCGCAGTGTTTGGGGCCAGGCCATACCAGTTGACGTCAACGTGATCTTTTCTCATGTTTCTTTGCCAACCCCCTCGCATGGATTCAACCTCAACCTCAAGTTCAGCCCACCCCAAGCAAGGTCTGGTGGTGTACTGGTAACACATCCTCTCTTGATTGGAACTCCTGGAAGAAAGTAGGAGGAAACACCCCGTTTGATTCGGGGCTAGGCCATTCCAAATCTCAGATGCCTTTTTCTTCAAGGCACTAGCCCTCTCGAGTCAGATTCATCCTCAACCTCAAATTCAACTCACACCAACCATGGCCTGGTGGTGTAATGGTAACATGTCTGTCTTATTGTGGAGGCTCCGCAGTAAAACATATAAGAGGATTTACCCCGTTCGATTCGGGGCCAGGCCATTCCAAATCTCAGATGCCTTTTTGCCTCATCAAGGCATTAGCCCTCTCGAGTCAGATTCAACGTCAACCTTAAATTCAACACATTTCAAGCAAGGACTGGTAGTGTATGGGTAACACATCCTCTCTTCATGAATTCCCACCCAGAGAGTAGGAGGAAACACCCCGTTCGATTCGGGGCCAGGCCATAACCCCCCATTGTAGCAGTCCTTTTTTTCTCATGTGTTTCTTGCCAACTACTCTCGCATCAGATTCAACCTCAACTCCAAGTTCGACCTACCCCAAGCAAGGCCTGGTGGTGTACTGGTAACACACCCTCCTGTTTTGGGTGGACCAGGGATCACGTAGGAGGAAGTACCCCGTTCGATTCGGGGCCAGGCCATCACCCATCGATTTGGTTGAAGTTTTTTTCCCCTTCGCTCCGCTCATTTCTCATTTCTCCGTTTCTTCTTCAAGTTCTCTTTCAAAATTCATCCATCCATCCATCTCTCCGCCTTTGTTTCCCCTCCAATTCTACCTCGGCATCTCGCCAGACCGCACAACCTCCTATCCTTCAACTTGTCCTCGTACAAAACCCAGGAACGCCGCCACCGCGACCCTGCCTCGCTCTAGCCTCTGCCTCCAACTAACCTAGCGCACGATCAGGCCATACATAGCGCCCTGAGGCTTTACTCCAAACGCCCCTGCCCCCTACTCAAATTATATAAATCAAAGTCCATTCAACCCGCGGCCGATACCCACTCAATTAATCCTTCCCCGAGTGCCCTGGACCTAGACCTGAGTGCATCCTGCATCCCTGCACCCTGTCTGCCGTCCGTCCATCGCCTGTCATTCTGCCAAGTACATCCGAGCTGTCTTTCACGTTCGTTTCTGTCGGACTATAAACTATATATGTAGATGAGACGACGCGCACGCAAGAAAACGGGTATCCAATTAACTACTAGCTCGCCCCTAGCGACTATTAATCTAGACACGAATCCAAGAAAGCGTCCCATCCAAAAAAAGTCGTAAACTCGTACTGTAAAGCAGTAAAAGAAATCGTGTATGCGTCGTCGGTCGAAGAGAACCCGGGAAAGCGCGGATATTAGGATAATGTATAAGTATGCGGGCGGGTATAGCGTAGCGTATGAGTAAATCCAAATCCAATGCGATGCAGAGTCCCGAATGAATGAACGGGTATGAGAATATGTATGTATGTGTGTCCGAGTCCGAGTCCGAAATCCAAATCCAAATATGTGAATGCGAGGATATGCGAAGCGAATGCGGGGAAGGAACGAACGAACGAAGGAATGAAGCGGCGTGTAGAGTCGAGTCCAGTATGGGACTATGGCTATGGCTTGGGCTGTGGGACAAAGGAGGGAGGGGGCATATATGCATGCAATGGGTCACGGTTGGCGGTGTGAGGCAGCATAGAGATCGGGATAGAGATACGGATAGGGATGGGGAAGGGATGGGGAAGGGAAGGGAAGGGAATCGTCCGTGCGTGCGAGGGCGGGCGGGCGAGAACACGCATGTATCGCCCACCCACCCCCACTTGAACGCGGCGCGTAAAGCCCCCCACTCCACTCGGGCTTAGTATGTACATGCGTGCGGGCGAGTCAGCGCACGCCGCGCCAAGCTCGCACGCCTCGATCTCGACTCTGCGATGACGCGCGCATTTCGCCATACGGGAACTAAAACGCAAAACGCGAAGCGCCAAAACGCAAATACACTGTGCGCAGTCGGCCCGCGACCTGCGTGCTTCCGTCGCCGCACTATCAGGAGCTTCCAGGCGCGAGTCGAAAATAAGCCAGCCCCGCTTCGAAAATAAGTCGTTTCGCTGGCACCCCAACACCCAAGCGCAAGACCCAAAAATACGCAGCCAGCCAGACGAGAATAGGGAGTGGCAGCTGCTGCGGACGGGACGGCTGTGTGGGTGATGGGTGGGTCGGAATGAATAACCCATAAGTACCCGGACGTGGACGTGCACGCCGACGCGAAGGGTGGGAGCCCGGCGTGAGAATCCTCTACTATTATGTCGGGCGAGCCGCGGTGTCCGGGTATCCGGGACGGGCACGGGCACACGGGCACGAGCCCGCGCACCGGCAGCGTTGGCGATGGCGATGCTGCTGGCGGGTGGAGCGGGTAGGAATACAATGTACAGCGCGGTCCGACGGAGGGGGAGCGGGGGTCGCCAGGCAGACGGATGCGGGGGACAGACGCCAGACGATGGTGCGGGGCGACCAGGGCCAGATCCTACACAGACAAACGTACGGACGTACGTCGTCCGCCCCCCACCCCCGCCGCGCACCAGGCACCTAACAAACAACACAACAGCACCCGCCCTCCTCCTCCTCCCCCGCCCCGCCGCCCGAGCCCCCGTTCGCACCTGCGTCGCCGCCCGCGCCCGCGTCGCCGGCCGCGGCGTCGGTCGCGCGGCGGCGGACGGACTTTTTCTTCTTGGGCTTGGCGGGGTCGTCTGCGGGCGGGGCGTAGGCGCGGATGGAGAGGTGGACGATGGTGGGCGGGGGCGGGTGGGTGTGCGCGTGGTGCTGTGCGTGCTCGTGCGAGGGGTCAGGCGAAGGGGGCGCAGGCGCGGAGGCGGGCGGTGGGGGCGTGTGCGCGGGGAAGCCGAGCTCTATGCACCCATCATTCCATCAACATGTGAAATGGCAACCAAGATAAAGAAAAGACGGACTCGCGAGGGTATCCTCGTCCTGGAGGATCTTGCCGAGGTAGAGGATGCGGAGGTAGGCGGGCGCGGGGGGGCGCTCGTCCTGCCACTCCTGCTCTGGGGGCCAGGCAGCCCAGACGAGCTCCTTGACGCGGCCGACGGTTGTTGCGGGGTCAAAGGGCATGGTGCGGCGGCGGCCGGAGACGAGGAGGAAGGTGAGGAAGGTCTGGGGCGTCTGGACGAAGGGCTGGGGCTCTGGCTCGGGGGTCTTGGGCTCTGTTTCTGGGACTGGTGCTGGATCTGGATCAGGCTGGTTGTTCTGGTCTGTGTCCTGCATCTGAATGTCTACGCGGGTTGTGGAGGAGCGGGCAGAGGGGGTAGCGTAGGGAGAGGGTTGTTGTGGGAGTAGAAGCAGAGATTCTCCTCTTTCCATATTCAATTCACTCTTTCGCACGGGGTGATCTGCTCCTCCTCCTCTTTATAGTCATTCGCCTAGAACATCCGAGCCCGCTGCACACGACCACGGGACTTGCCGTCAATGGTCTGGACAACCACAATGACCCCCCGACGATGACCAGAGTGCGAGTCCATCGGCCCCTCCACCATCCTTCTCCGATATTCCCCGTGTCCGCCGTCCTCTACCCGCTTAGTTCGCTTCATCCGACCCACCGCACAAATCCCGCACTCTCGCGTTAACACCTCAATCCTCTTTTGCCTGTGCTCATTAGTCCTAACGTCGTCCAAGCCCCCGCTCTTCTCCCTCGGCCCGCGCCAAGCGGGCGCTTCAAAGTCAACCCCTCCTCGGCAACCATGTCCTTCGGCCCGAATTCGATACCTATTTCACCCGGTGCAACTACAGAGCCCGCATCATCTTCTCTATGTGTAGACTGAATGGATTCGCGAATCGCGAATCGCGCGTATCAATCGCGTCCGTCGCGCGCTATCAGGCGCTATCTGTACGATAATCATTGTCGTAGTGTCTGCTAACCACAGCTGAGCGTCGAGTCGTTTTCCATTAGACGTAGCCAAGAAGTAAAAGCAAAGAACGAAAAATAAAAAGACCAACTTTGATAGAAAACAGCCTGACCCCGAATCGAACAGGGCTCCTCCTCTGAAACCATTGCCATCTATATCTTCGGCATAATTACAGAGGACATGTTCCCAATACACCACCAGGCTGTTCCTATGTAACTATCAAGCTGTATTTAGGGTGTGATGATAATCAAACTGAACAGAAAAAAAATGCATCACCTTAACGCTTGTATGGCCCAGCCCCGAATCGAACAGGGGTCTCCCTCAAACAATCTGTGAGAATCCTCTAAATTGAGAGGTTGTGTTCCCACTACACCACCAGGCCTTCCCCATTTCTGGCTTGTCTCGACTTGGATGGCAAAGGACCAAAGGACACCCAAAAAAAATTGTTCACACATTGCAAGTTATGGCCCAGCCCCGAATTGAACAGGGGTCTCCCTCAAAGTCTCTCAAAATCTTGAAAATCAAGAGGTTGTGTTCCCACTACACCACCAGGCCATGCATATCATCTGCGCAACTTGTGTTATCAGTTCAGCTCGAACTCCAAAAAGAAAAAGAAAAGTTTTAGGAAATGGTGATGGCCTAGCCCCAAATTGAACAGGGATCTTGTTCCAACACACTGTCGTTACTTTGTAAGTAAAGAGGATGTGTTGCCACTACACCACTAGGCCATACTTAGCTTTCCCCAGTTTGAGTAGAGTACATTATTACGATGCTGAAGTTGAAGTAGTGAAAAAAGAGTCAATGTTTATGGACTATGGCCTGGCCCCGAATTGAACAGGGACCTTCCTCTGATCTTTTCCAGATTTGACATGAATAATTAGAGAGGATGTGTTACCACTACACCACCAGGCCTTGCATATTTTCTGCTCAACTTGGATTATAGGTTATGGCAGGATGCTGTGTTCAATTCAAATTTCCAAAAAAGAAAAGAAGAGAAAATATGAATGGCCTGGCCCTGAATCGAACAGGGTTCTTCCTCCAACATTAATCCCTACCCCGTCCAAGTAAGGAGGATGTGTTGCCAATACACCACTAGGCCATGCTTGGCTGCCCTTCAATCTAGGTAGGGTGCTTTACGATTATGTGAAGTTCAAGTTCAAGTAGTAAAAAAGATCTGAACATTGTGAATGGCCTGACCCCGAATTGAACAGGGGTCTTCCTCCAAACTACTCACCATCCAAGTTAAATTGAAGAAGATGTGTTTCCACTACACCACCAGGCCTTGCTTGTCTTCTGCTCAACTTGCATTATAGGATGCTGTGTTCAATTCAAATCTCCGAAAAAGAAAAGAAGAGAAAATATGAATGCCTAGCCCTGAATTGAACAGGGTTCTTCCTCCAAAACTCTCTTTCCAATCACAAAGGAAGAGGATGTGTTGCCAATACACCACCAGGCCTTGTATATCTTTTGCTCAATTTGCATTATAAGATGCTGTGTTCAATTTGAATTTCCGAAAAAGAAAAGACAATGAAAAAACATGGATGAAAAGGGATGGCCTGGCCCTGAATTGAACAGGGTTCTTCCTCCAAGGACTCCTGCGTCTGACGTAAATAAAGAGGATGTGTTGCCAGTACACCACCAGGCCCTACTTGGTTCTCCTCCAAATTGAGTAGGATGGATTATTTCGATGTTGAATACTATTTGAAAGTTGAAGTAGCAAAAAGAAAATCAAGATCCTGGAGTATGGCCTGGCCCCGAATTGAACAGGGTTCTTCCTCCAATTGGTCTATGTTACTGATGTACACTGAGAGGATGTGCTGCCAGTACACCACCAGGCCGTTGTTGTAAAGTGACTTTACAGTATTGAACCTGACTTCAAAACTTGGGGTTGTTCGCTCAACTCCGGGAACAAACAGAATATCCCCGACTCACATAAGATCCAGTTTAAATCGTCCTCTCGGTGCGTCAGCGGACGCATGAACAGGAAGAGTTGGTTGCGATTCAGACAGCGGAAATTCAACCGAGGTCACGACATGCCGCCGGCTGATCCCGGGTTCGCCCGACTCCTCCGCCTTCGTCTTCGTCAACCATCGACTCGCCGCGCCGTTGACTCGTGGACTCGCTTCGGGTCCCTGCTTCACCACCAACATCTCAACCCCAGGATTCACAGAGAGCTTGGCGTTCCTGGCGCATTGACCCTTCAATTGAAGCTGTCTCGCTTCGCTCTTCGCTCTTCGCACCTCATGGAAGCCTCGAGCCCTCCGAGTCGCTTCAATCCGCCAATCTCTCTGAAGCTCTCTCGCTTCGCGTTTGTGCCTCGCTAGGAATCCTGGGCACTCGTTGAACAATGAAACGTCCTGTCAGGGTCCACCGTCCACGTCGATTGCGGGCCGCGTGTCATACCTCGCACAATGCACGACGCACAACGCACACACCCGGCCACGATTCTCCCGAAAATCCTTGCTGGAATCTTGGATCCATTATCTCGTGCTCTAACTTACTAGTCCGCAACTGGCGAATCATATTCGATGAGATTGAATCAGTCCATATGTCAGGCCGAAGGTCTCTGCCACGTTGCGCCAACGTCGTCTTGGAGCGGAGTCCAAGGCCATTCGACTCGACACGTCCGAGTCACCGCGGGTGAAATACGTTGCAGATTCGACTATAATTCTATTCCAACTGGACGGTGCGTCCATTTTCGAATTCGTTCTCGAGCCATGCACAGTTGACGCACTCTCGAAGCGTCGCCTCCTAAACCTTCAAAGACCGCTTGTCGAAAGACCGCCGGCGACAGTCCAGAAGGATAATCCAACTCAAACAGCCTGGAACCAAACTATTGGACGACAAAGAATGAGGATGAACGGCGAATGCGAATCCCGCGGTTCACCTCTGCACGTCGCTCCCCAGGATTTTTCGATGTAATTCTGCAATAACATGAAGCACTCCCTGTTCAACGAAGAGTATGTTTCTCATGTCGTCCTCGCAGATTTCATCACGAGCTTCCATCGGAAGATCCTTGACGGCTTCCAGCGGCGGGTTCTGGTTCGTTCGGAGTTTGCACGCTGGCGCAGCTGGTTCAACCTAGCAGCGGCTCGTCGTTGACAGGGACAGGGACGGAAACCTCCTGGTCGTCTTCGTTGCGTGATGGCTACGAGGGTTGTGGAGGCCCACACTAACGCGTTGGCTTGGGAGTTTTATGATCGGCCGTGATGTTCATTTGGAGTTCTCACGCTGACGCAGCTGGTTCAGCTGTTCAACCTAGCAGCGGCTCATCGTTGACAGGGACAGGGATGGGAACTTTCTGGTCGTCGACTTTGCGTGGTATCTACGTGGATTGTGAACGCGCACGCTAACGCGTAGTAGGCTCGGGAGTCCTACGACGGGCCGTGATGTTCTCCTCCATTTCGAGTTGGCTATTGGATTTGCGCTCGTCTCTTTATCGGTGCGCTTTTTTCGCCCTGTATCGCGTTATTCGCCTAACCGAGCACACAATCCTAACAAAGAGACGCGAGCCCGAGTCATCTCCGACTGTTGTCAGTTTTTGGTTCTCGGACTACAGACCTGGATGCCCGGACACGATATCGACGATGCTGACCTGCTGTGTGCGTGTGTCGGCATCTCTGCGTCGGCGGACGTTCTTCTCCGACCTCCCCCGGTTCCGTGCCCCGCTCTCCCTCTCGTCGACGCTGCTTCCCACTGCGTGACGCCGTTGTCATCTGAGGCTCCCAGGCCTAGCGGCCTCACTTTACCTCCCACCGCACAAATCCTGCATGCTCGCGTTAACACCTCAATGCCAACGTCGCGTCTCTGCATTTCGCGTCGCTTACCTTCGCATCTGAATGCCCAACGTCGTGCCGAACCGCCCTCGGCCCGTCCGCACTGGCAGAAAGCTGAAGTGGCTCCGACTTGATCCTCAACCCGTTTCAGAATGCCCAATGTCGTTACGAACCGCCCTCGGCCTGCCCGCACTAGCAGAAAGCTGAAGTGGCTCCGAATCCTCAACATGCTCCAAAGTCAACCCCTACTCGGCGCCTCTCGGCGTCCCCAGTCGACCGTACATCCTCGCCATCGCGCCTCCCAGAGGCCGCGTACGCGCGTCAAACATCTACGTTCCCAAGACCCTTCGGCCCGATACCTATTTCACCCGATGCAACTACCCACAGAGCCCGCGAGCCCGAGCCCGACATTTATATTGCATAGGATAATCAGGATTCCTATGCATAGGTGATTGGACTGAATGGGCGACTCCATTGTGAATCGTACCAATCGCGTCCGTCCGAGTCTACGCGCTATCTATCCATGTAATCCCAAACTTTATTTAGCATCGTCGCCCGCAATACAATACAGACAAACGATGACCACAATTTCGTTTATACTCCCTCGTGAAGGCGTGGTGTAGAGTATCTGCCAACCACAACCGAGCGTTACTCGTTTTGCAGTAGACATGGCCAAAACAAGAAGTAACAGTAAAAGAACGAAAAATAAATAAAAGAGATTGTCCTTTTTCACAGCCCGACCCCGAATCGAACAGGGTTCTTCCTCTTGACTTAGTCAAAGGGTTATGCATTTGGAGAGGACGTGTTACCAGTACACCACCAGGCTGTTCCTGACTATGCCGGGCATATCAACTTGTATGGAGTTGTGGAGTTGAATTTCTACTTTGGAGGATAAAAAGACATAGCAGAAATACGGATGGCCCGGCCCCGAGTCGGGCGGGGGTTTCCCTCCAACATCCCATCCAACAATCGTGTTGAAGTAAGAGGTTAGGCCCTGCACATCTTCTGCTCAACTTGGACTATAGGTTCAACTCGAATTTCTAAAAGAGAAAGAAATAGAAACACATAGCCCAGCCCCGATTCGAACAGAATTCTTCCTCCGATGCCCATATTTACTGCATCTAAGTAAAGAGGATGTGTTCCCATGCACCACCGGGCCCTGCTTATTTGTCCTTCAATATGTAAGTACGGTGCATTATTTCGATGTTGAAGTTCAAGTGAAAAAAAACTGGCACATTTGGGTGATGGCCTGGCCCCGAATCGAACGGGGTTCTTCCTCCTAAACGTCTAGCAGCTTCCAATAAATCCGAGATGTGTTACCAATACACCACCAGGCCATCCTTCTTGGCACTCGGACCTCAATAAAGGGATGATGTCCAAGCCAAAGACAAATAAAAAGCACTCGGAAACACATACGGAATAGCCTGGCCCCGAATCGAACAGGGTTCTTCCTCCTATTGGTCTATGCTACTGATGTAGACTGAGAGGATGTGTTGCCCGTACACCACCAGGCCGTTGATATCTCGCCACTGGCACTAATAATACTGGTAGATAATAACTTACTCAGTTCGAACTCGGTCCGAAGCCGACGCAGGCAGGCGCTCAACCACAAAAACAGTATTACTCACTAGCTCATAAAAGTTTATTGAAGTTGCTCACACTGCTCGTCGGTGAATGCATGAACCAGGAACCTGGGCAACAAGAGAAATTGGTTGAAACGAAAAATCAACCGACGTCACGGGATTCGGACCGTTCATCCCGGGTTCAACCACTGGCTTTTCCGTCGACCACCATCTCGTCCAAAAATCCGTCTTCGAGCCGGCCGTTCCCATCCTCAAACGCGGACATCTTCACCTGTGACATCATTCCGACACGCACCGTGGCGTCTGCTCGGGGCGAACTCCATGCAAAACGGAGGAGGGAGATGTGAGACGTCGCCAGCGCATCCTCAGCGCCATTCGGCGCTCTCTTCGAGGACCGCGCTACATCCTCTATTATGTCCGTATATTATGTCTGCTCGCTATCCGACTACGTTTCCAGTGCGTGCCTTTTTGGGTGGACATGTAAATTCCGCCCTCGGACCCACCTGCGAATTTGCATCGGAAGGGTAAACGCACCCGTTCTTCCAAGGTACCATTCACCTTATCAACTCGCTGTATCCCACAGAGCCGTCCTTCCCCGCGCGCGCATCTCGGAAGAGCCACCCCTCGTCGTCCCGCCTGCGGAAGGATGGGTGAGCAAGCCACAGCGCGTCCGGCACGGGAAGACGCCGCTTCAACCAAAACCGCCCCGCGCCATCGTAGAAATTCGGTGCTGCGCTGAATCTCGACCGGATGCCTGCGCGACGGCGACCAAGACGTGCCTCACCGTCCGCTTCCGCTACAGCCCGTATGTACGCGATACGCATCGATGTCGCAGGATTCAGTACTCACCGGGAACGTCACTCTCGCGAGCTCCGAATCACCGATTCTCATTCCCGTCTTCCTCGAAGCTGTCTCGTTTCCCCGAGGTTCGAGCCTCGAGCAAGCTCCCGCTGTTCTGGATTCCATCGCGAGTTCCGCCAAACGGCACCAATCCTTTGAAGCCACTTCACTTGACGCCTTGCCCCCTTGCCCCCTCGCCCCAGAAGTACGACCTCCGGAATCCGAGGCACGTCTCCGCGCCTGCCGTTCTAATCTTCGGTCGCCCGTGCACAATGCGTTGAAATTGAACTTGTCGATTACCGGTCGCGTGGTCGCACGACGCATTGCCGGTTCCCTTTTTTGAATCATGAATCTAGGGACTACCGCTTGTCTAGAGAAGACGCGATCCTCACCGTATCTCCTGGCCGATGTCGCCGATGCAGAACTTGGACGCCAGTTCGCTTTCATCCTCCACTGTCTTCGCTGTTATCTCGGTATCCCTCATGCTTCAACCGTACCTCGCTCGACTCTGGGTTTCGAGAAAACCATATTCTCCACGCACGGCACATCTGCCACTGGAAAATTCTGTCGCCAACCACAAAACATGAACACTAGCCACTAGCGTACTTTCAATTACCCCCTTTCTTGCGCGGTCATCTTTACTGCATTCTTGCGTTCTTGCGTCCTGTTCTACCCGCGAACCACGTCGGTTGTCGATGGGATCGAATACAAAAGTTCCGTCCGCACTTGAAGATAGATTGGAGTGGAACCTCGACGTCTCGCCTCGGAGTTCATTGATATGCGCTGATCATCATATCAGCCTTGCGGCGCCCGCGGGCTCACGCGGGAGGCTCGATGTATGCAGACTCTTGACTATATATTCGATCCCAACAGGGCGGTGCGTCCTCACTCATGAATCCTCTTCGCACCGTTGACGTTCTTTCGACCTGAAGCGGAGCCAGTCAGTGGCCCGAGGTGTCTTCCACAACTTGATACCACCGGCGACGCCAGTTCAGGAAATCTACCTCGCGATTGTCGTGAGACTGAGTTACGACGACCAAGTTGAACAACGACCGCAGCTCCGAGATTCTTCTCCCCCGCCTGGCCTTGGATTCTCCGAATGTGCAGTAGTTCTGCAATCAGGTTACACGGCGAGCCTACGACAGATTCCCACCCGATGTGTGAACTTGAAATCAAGATAAATCGCATTTCAGACAGCAAACTATTGTACAACTCGTAGACGACTCTAAACGTATCCCCCCTTCCTTTTCCTAGGCGCAGTACTGACATCCCGCACAAGGTTCAATAGTCTCTCTCATCGGAAGATCCTTGACAACCTCGAAGCCCTCCGCGATCAACTCGTACGTCTAAACGCCCGATTTCAAAATAATCTAACAGTATGGCACAGGCAGAACATACCCGATTGCCCGTAACATCACGCTCTTTGTAATCGATGCGTTGCAGCGCCGCGGAAAACTGGTAGATATGACCTGGACCGGTGTGCAGCTCGCCGGCTACCGCGGTGTGGACCCAGACCTATAGCAATGCCGACTGGTTTAGTAGCAGGTCGCTAGACGCATGGGGTGACTCACGTAGATCCTCCCCGGCAGCTCGCCCACCCGGTTGTCGCCCAGCTTTGGATTGACCAGGGACGACACTACATCTGCCGGCTGACTCTGTCAAAGATATCAATCCAGTACACGCAACATGCAATTACATTCTGCATGACTCACATATTCAATCGAATCCTGGTGCAGAGCGTCGGCCAAGCTCGTCAACTGCTTGTGATACAAAGCGACTGCAGCACAGGTCGCACCCCGCGGAGGGGCGAGCCTGACGAGGATGTTCACTCCTGGAGTGTGCTGCCGCCCGGGTGTAAGATACATATCGCGAAAACAGGTCGAAGTGGAAACTCACCGCAGACAAAACAGCCTCCACCTCGCCGAATATGGCAGCGCGGAACTGCACCAGTCTCGGTTTCCTTTGGCCGTCGTTTGGCTCGGGCTCCCTCTGTGTGTCCTTAGCAGTGAATAACCCGCCGGGAGGGTTACGGACGCTCTGGTCCCGGGTCAGAGCGAAGTCCTCGTTGTATTTGGCCGTCGCCCACGCCGAGTGCTCGTTCAGTGCGTAGCGGCCGAGGAGAGTCATGATTCTGAGACATTGACTCTTTGAGATCTAGGCGCAAATGAGAAAGGTAAATTCACTGACAGGAAATAATGGGGAGTTTTGAGGTCTGGGTTAGACCTCGAGTCTGTGGGCCTTGGTCGGTATTTATACGCAGAACACAAGAAGGGAGCAATCAAAACAGGGACAATGGAGATCTAGAAAGAATATAAATGCGGCAATATGCAGCCGACGGGCCGGGTTGAATATTGATCGCAATGCAGACCTCCAGCTGTTATCAAGTGCCGTGTAATTTCTGTGAGTGGTGGACGAAATTGTGCGGAGGAAATTTAACCGGGACGACTCAACTTGCACAAGTTGCACTCGAATTATTCGTGTGCATGCCATATACATATGATGCCATGAATCGATGATCACCGGGCGTTCGGTCAATTTCACTCCAGCTCATGTGGTCCGCCGCTGAAATGATGTTTTAGACCCAAGGGATAATATCATTTGGTGAAAAGAGAGGCATGGTACGAAGGAACAAATAAAAAAGAACTTGTCGCGTTTCCTTAGGTGCAATGCTCGCATCCAGCACATGCTACGTTATCAGCTTTCCTCGGGAGATCTGTGACCACGCAATCCTCGGACGCGATCAACTCGTACATCTGTAAAAACAATTTTAATCTCATGGGCTGGCATAGGCCTAGTAGGCACGACGTACCCGACTGGATGGCGCGTCAATGTCGATCCGTTCCATGCCCGCGGTGAACTCCATAATCGAGCCGAGCAAGTCTTGCCAGTGAGCGGTGACCGCCTGTAGGTTAGCCATAGATTGCAAACGAATTGAGATCTAATATGTACATACTCATTTTAGCAAGTCGATAGCGTTGGAAGATGCGGAAGGACTCAGTAGATTCTGTTAGGCATCTGCGGCAACCGGGTGCCATCCAACTGTGGATCGAACATTGACGACGTTATTTCTCCCGACTGTGGAATCAATGTTAGAAATCCACCATTGTAGAGCGGATCTTTAGAATGACTCACAAAACGTGGCGCAGCCGTGTTGGCCTGCAGGAACGAGGACACATTGTTCAACTGCTTCAGATACAAAGTGCGGGCGGCGCAAGTAATGTCGCTAGACACGAGGGCAGGTGCAAGTCTGACTATGACCTTATCTTCTGTAGCCTGCGGGACGTAGATAAACCTCGGGTAGGACGCCTTAATTGAAACGAACCGAAACAAAGAATTCCTCCACCTCGCCCCAGACCAGGCCAAAGTACTTTTGCAAGGCTCTGTTGCGACCCGTGGCGAGCTGGCAGTCTTGGGCGGTATACAGGCTTCTCGGAGGGTCTGAGTCACGAAAGCTACGGACCCGGATTACAGCGAAGTCGGGTAGAGGGCCCCACTGCGCTGTCGCCCAGGCAGAGTGCGTATCCTGTGCGTAGCGGTCTACAAGAGAAATCATGATCGTGGTTCCGATCGATCGATCGCAAATTTCAAAACATTTACAAAGCCGGTCGGAATTTCAATTTGCTCCCGCGGCGACGGCCGCCGACATGGCCGACACTCGTTCGAGTAAATTCTCTCTTCGTGCGCAAACAGTCCGCGAGTTTCAACCAGTGTTCAATCTCTCGAGAAGCGTTTACGTCACAGTGCTGTAAGTTCAATTCTGTCTTCCCACGGCTTCAAGTTCGCATCACCTTCTTAGTTGAATAAAATCTCATGGTGAAAACCGGATAAATCTATTTGGTAGGCCCCCCCCCCCCCCCCCCCCCCCCCCCCCCCCCCCCCCCCCCAGATTGCCGAGATGACTTAGATAACCGATAACCAATGCTTTGACCACCTTTCTAGTGTCATTTATAGGGTAAATGAAAGTACTAAGACCTCTTATTAAACCACATTGTCGTCAAGGCACTCTTGCAAACCCACCCTTTTTTTTCATGTTTTTCCCTGCTTTATTTGGCAATTTCTGAGGTTTTGATGTTTAAAATCGCGAAAACTAC